CCAAAATTTGAACAACAATTAAAGACTTTTATGTCCATCATGCTTAGCTGAATTTGAATCAAATAAAAAAATGATAGGGATAGCTAAAGTCATCAAGATGATTGAAGAAAATTAGAATAAAAAAATATTTAGAATTTAAAACAATTTACATTCTAATTTTGATTTAGTTAGATAATTGTAAGAAAGTTTAATAATGCTTCAAACTTTTACTCATGAAAAACTTTAAATGTTAATTAGCAGTATCGAGAAGTGGTTACAAACTATACCAGAATTATGTTAAAAATATTAATCTTATAGTTTTTTTGCTGAACTAGAAATTCTAATATAAAATGAATCATTTATAGAAGAATAGCCCTACATAAATTCAGATATTTAAGTCATCACTGAATCATATTTTTGCTAAATTGCCCAAAATCTATAATTGTTTGAATAATTTAAATACTTTTAGCAATGTTCAGAAATTTTAGTAAAAATGTCATGTTTATTTGAACAACAAGGCATGAAAATGTCAAATTAATTCTAATCAATTTAGGAAATTTAACTTATTCGAAAAGAAGGAGATAAAAAATTGAATCAAATTAAAGATGATGAGTTAAATCACTTTAATAAAGAGATAAATGAATCAATAGAACAATTATAATGAAAATATGATGTAATACAAAAAAATTAAAAAGAATTACATAAGAACTTATAAGAATTAAAATAGCATATGAGTGACTTATTGTTAAACTAGTATTATTTTAACGATAGAAATCAATCAAAGTTAATTATTGTTTAATAATAATATTATCTTCTCAAAAGACTATTAAATTTTATTTTCAGTCAATAAAAACTAGGTTTATTGAATTTATTAAATTAAAGGTTCTGTTTCATTTTTTATTTTAATTATACAANATTTACATTCTAATTTTGACTAAGTTAGATAATTGTAAGAAAGTTTAATAATGCTTCAAACTTTTACTCAAGATAAACTATAAATGTTAGTTGAAAGTATTGAGAAGTGGTTATAAACTATACTAGAATTATAGTAAAAATATTAATCTTATAGTTTTTTTGCTGAACTAGAAATTCTAATATAAAATGAATCATTTATAAAGGAATAGCCCTACATAAATTCAGATATTTAAGTCATCACTGAATCATATTTTGGCTAAATTGCCCAAAATCTATAATTGTTTGAATAATTTAAATACTTTTAGCAATGTTCAGAAATTTTAGTAAAAATGTCATGTTTATTTGAACAACAAGGCATGAAAATGTCAAATTAATTCTAATCAATTTAGGAAATTTAACTATTTCGAAAAGAAGGAGATAAAAAATTGAATCAAATTAAAGATGATGAGTTAAATCACTATAATAAAGAGATAAATGAATCAATAGAACAATTATAATAAAAATATGATGTAATACAAAAAAATTAAAAAGAATTACATAAGAACTTATAAGAATTAAAATAGAATATGAGTGACTTAGAAATCAATCAAAGTTAATTAAAATTTAATCTACAACAATTACAATAAAGTGAAAAGTAATTACAAGATAGTGAAATAGAATAACAACTAGATAAATTAAACTATTATTCCAAAAGGCTACTTGATACCAATTAAGAATTACAATTTTTATTAGATTCATTAATTGATGAAAGTTATGATGATAAGTTATAATAATGTAAATAAGTTGTATTAGAAGATTAAGGAAATACAATTATTTATATTAGTGATGACTTAAAATGTATAAAAGATTGTATATCTAAAAAATTGATTGAATTATAGAAAAGTTATAATTAATTACTAGATAATCAATCAGAATTACTAAATAATAAAGATTAACTAATAACTAACTCTAGATAAGTACAAGTTTTTGCCGAACATCTATTTTAATAGCTAAATTAAACTGATGCTGAAGTTATTTAATTGATCCAACAGTTGTCTTAACTTACAATAAAAAAAAATTAAAATTCATGATAAATTTAAATATTATTATTCATTCAAACATAATCATAAATGATGATATTTATATAATACTTTTTTTCAAATTATTACTTAAATACTTAGAATTTTACATTTTGGATAAATTTAGAAATAAATATTTTATTTTAGGATTTATTTACAATGAATTAATGTTCCACTATACTAGAACATAGAGTTAATTTAGAATTTATATGATTTGAGGATCCAATTAATTATTGGTTTCCTGAAGCAAAATAAAGCCAAGCTATAGTGAAATTTATGAGTTCGATTGAAAAAGAGATATACCCTTATATCACCCAAAATTTATTCAAAGAATTACCAGGATCACAAGTGCTAAATCGAATCCAATATTAAATTATCATTTAACCATAGATACAATCAAAGAAAGAATATTCCTAAATAACTCTTCATTTTATTTCATTAAAACAGCTACATCATGTAAGCTTGTTTTGTCTATTTAATTTATTCTCAATAAATCTATACTTATATAAATAAGAAAAATAACAATCAAATAAACTATAATTTCAAATTTAATGTAAAGGCTAATTAGAAAATTGCCATATAATTCATTATTTACATAATAGTTTAGGATTGGAGTTCTTGTTAGATTAAGCATGATTAAATTTATAGATTAAATCATATATCAAATATAACATTCTTTTTATTTGGATTTTTTTAAATTAATCTTTGCTTTTGGAAGAGGTTAGATTTTTATCAATATTGATAAATGTTCAAAATTTGTATTGAGCAAGAAGAATATGAATTAAAGATTTTGTCAAATTCTATAAATATTTTATTTTCCCATCAATATAAACATCAAATTTAGGATTAATTGAAGGCTCTTCCCTAAGAAATTAAATCTAATATTATAACCTAAAATGATAATTTTAATGATTTAAAGTTATACTAAAATCACTTTATCAACAAAATCTTGTAAGTCTGACAATCTTCCTTAAAGAAATATCCTTTACAACTAACTTCCTTTTATTTCGTATACCTACCTTAAAATAATAATATATTTATGTTTACCATACTTAAATTCACTAAATAGATTATATAATATCTTTGATTCAAATAATTTAATATTTGGCAAAGATAAAGAAATAAGAAATTATCGTTTATTGATTGAATGGTTTGAGCTATAATGGTATGGGTATTTTATTTCTATCTGTTGAATAATATATTAGATTTGATGAAAAAAGTAATAATTTATTATAATTATTTCATTTATAAAAGAATTAAATATCTTGATAGAGTCTCTTATTTAATCTTATCCTTCTTATATTAATTTTCAATATATAAAAAATCAATAATTAGATCATAAAAGAAATATCTATTGTTATTTTAATCCAAGTGAAATATTTGAGATAAAATAAAATATAAATAATTATTTTTATAATGAAATAATTATTTATAGAATTTTTTACAATAATTATTTAACTGATACTAATTTAATTAAAGTTATTTTATCAATTTAACAACATTTTAACATCAAAATAGCAACATCCCTCATTCACTGATATTTTAGATTTGATAATAAATAGTTAAATTTTAGATGTTATTTTTAATGATAATAATTCAAAGTTCTATTTCGGTATTTATATGACCATAATTTCTCATTCTATATCTAACTAAAATACAGAATCCTATTAATTGTATTGCAATTATTGTAATTAATGAAAAAATCCATCTGCTTTTATTTATTTCTAATTCAGGAAAAATAAATGTTATTTCATAAGACCCTGACGAATATTGATTTTAGCATGAAATATTAATTTGAACGTTATTTCTACGCTTTTTATAATGGCATTTTAATATTCTAGTATATATTGGAAAGTATAATAATGATCCATTATTAAATGCAATACATGTAGCGTTTTGGTCCTCTATATTTCCTATGAAAGCATATTCAAGAGATGTAGATGTTTATGATCCTAACAATAAAAGAGGATCTTTCAAATTGTTATCATAGAAGTTACTAATTTAATAAACTCCTATCAAATAATTATTTCCCTATTTAAACTGTTGAAGTAGAAGACCATTTGAATATATAGAATTTGATATTGGCAATAAATTACCATAACCTGGAATAGTTGTAATAAAATCAAATAAATTTAATCTGTTTTAATTCTATTTCAAAAAAAAAACATACAATTCTCCTAAACCAACATTATTTGTGATAAGGATGAATATTTATTTTCCTATTATTTACAATATCAAAATTTAGATAGCATAAGAATTTTAATAATAATGTCGAAAAATGGAATATTTTCTTTATCGAAAAAAGGAATACTATTTTTTTAATTAAAATGAGTTACTTTCTAAATATATATATTAATAGGTGGCTATTTTATTCATGATGTATACAATAATAACTATATTTTACTAATTACTATCATAGCCAGAATTATAAAGGGCTACTGAAAAATCTTAACAATTGCAGAATGAAATATTAAAATCTGAACTATTAGAATCACAACTAAGTTATTGCATGCTATTGTTTAATGAGTTAAGTAAATACAAACTTTGATTCTGAGAATTCAAAATAGTGCCTAAAATAAAATTTAGATTGTCTATATTGCTAATTTTAAATATATTAGTAAATATGCCAGGAATTAAAAATGTGTTTATATCTGAAACATTTCCAAAATAGTCAAAGGAAATTCTAAGCCAATATTAGCCAGTATTGTTTTCACATATGGAAGACAAAGTTAAATTAAAAGATGTTGATTTCAAACATTCAGAAAACCTTAAGTTAGAATAATCATAAGATTATTAAAAATTATATTATGAATCTACAATTTAGATATTAGTGTTGTTCTACAAAGCAAAAAATTAGTTATTTACTCCAGTTACTAATGTGAAGTTTAGGCTGGGTTTTAAGGTAGAGTACCCAAGATTAGTTATATTGCATGTTTCGTTTGTAAAGTATTAATTGTTTTAATGTTAATCACTATTAGAAAATTAACAGAGACTTGCCTGTCTATCAAGGAATACTCTCATAGGAATTGTGAAAGTTCTATCTTATAAATTTAAATCATTTATTGATAAATTTATGGTTTTAGTATTTATTTGTTAGAATATTGTGAAATTTGACAAATAAACTAAGCTTTAATTGGGTGTATATTAAATAGCATTCTAATTTAATAAGGAAGTAACAGTATAATTATATATAATTGTAGGGTAAGATCGTTCAAAGTTTAGAGATTTATTTACTTATAGTTCAAATCGTTGAGATGGTAATAATGAATAGATCTTATTTTCAAAATACAACAAAGATTCTTCAGTTTTTACAAAATAGGTGCATATCAATTAAAATGATAAGTTGAGTTAGTAATATAAACTCTCATGTTGAGGTAAGTGAGGACTGTAAACTAGTACATTTTAATTTGAAAATTAAACATAAAAGAAACAATTATCTGATAAGATTTATATATCTTCCTCATATAGTACACTCATCATATTTTGAAGATAAAAAGGTTACCTTATATTTTTGATACTCCAAACTTAAAAACAAATTTCTAACCCTGAATTGCAATTGTAAGTTAAAACTAATTGTGTATTTACAATATTTATTTATGTAATTATGAAAGTAAAATATATGATAGTAACTGGTAATGGCTAATTATTTATATCAATAGCAATTACAATGACATTATTGATATTATTGATAAATAAGCATGAAGACAGCGAGTAAAGATTCACAGCTATTTAAATAGGAGTAAATATTAGAATGGGTTCTGTTGGAAATAGTTATTGAATAGATTTTTCATTAATAATTATTAAATCAGCAAAATTCAAAGTCATTATTTAAATTTCTTTACCTGTATACAGAGTTATTACATTATTAAATGTAATTAAAAATTCAGAAAATTATTGTTCAAATTTATGAAATAAGAAAGTGGTCTAATTTGTCTCAACCCATAATTCATAAAGATAAATTGTATCATTTTCACTCAGTCCTATTATTAACTATCCAATCATATTATGAGTCACACATAATGACTAAGCTATGATACTAATATTGATAGTCATATAAGGATTTTAAGATCCAAAATAATGCAATTAATTAAAGATTGATATTGATTGGTTTTGAATTCCAATAAAGTATACTCCTTCTCCTACATAAAATGTATACAAAAATTAGGCCAAGTAAAAATACTGATCTTGAAACTCAAACAATTGTTAATAAGTCTTCTAATTAAATGATCCAAATAATTCATTATCTAAATTCACATTATAAGCCAGCAAATTGCCTGAAAAATCTCCCTAGAATGTGATATTTTTTTAATCTTCAGAAGTTCTATACATTGGGAAGTTTAAATCCCCTGAAAGTTGTATTTATGTATAAATATTTGTATCGTACTTATCTAAAATTGTAATTGACATATATAGTTCGCAAGTACCGTTGATATTTTCACTTAAATGTTAAGCAAAAATTGTAATATCATATGTATTACCTAAAACTTGTTATTAATCTGTTAGATTAATTTATAGTGAAGGTATTGCTAATTAATAGACAGTAATTTCTAGTTCAAATACAAATAAATAGTTATTATAAGGATTAAAAAATATTTAAGTGCCTTCTTCAAATGAAATACTTCCAATAGGCACTCCATCATCTCCTTGTGAATATAATAGGAGAAAATCTTCTGATTAAAATAATCCAAATTGATTATTAAAAAAAAACTAAATCACATGTTCTAGTTTTTTAGAAGTATAGGAAAATCCATTGCTATTTTCAGTTAATCCGCTTGAACACCCTGACATTGTATATACTTGAAATTTTCCTTTTTGAGAATCATAAGATAAAACCTCTATTTAATCACATGGAGATTAGTAGTCATAATAAACTTGAAGATTATCAAGTTATTTTGGAATTGAAAATTTATAGTTTTCACCAAAAGTATTATTCTATGTAATATAAAATTATAATAATATTTTTCTTAAAAGGATATAAATATATGGATTTTCTCTTTCAGGAATACTAAATTCTATAAATTAATTTTAGTAAGTTGTTAAATTTTCATATTGAGATGAAAATAACGTAAGGATGGAATAATTTTCATAATATTACGCATAAATTATAAATAATTTCTCATCATTATAAATACTTTACATTTTTGATGAATTTGGTTCGTTTGCTCTAATTGAATAAACTACAATGAAAGTACTATTTATAAAGGCAACTAAATAAAAATGATTATAAGCATAACAATCAAGTAAGATATTGTATTCAGCAAATAAATTGATATTATAACAATTCAAATCAGTATTGATATTAAATATATATCCATATTCCAACATTTAAAAAAACTTCCATTCATAAATTATTAATTGATTTTTTGTAGTTAATGTTGCAAAGTGAGTATAATTCGATGATATTGATGTAAATTCTAATATAATGATTTTAGACATACCATATCCATCTATTTATGAAATTGGATTTAAAGCATTTGTTATTTCCATTATGGGTATAATTGGATCATAATGGTAAATAAAATCTTTTCCAAAGAAAAAATATCTCATAGGATATTCTAAATACTCTCCATTAGTTGGGTAAATATGTATGTCTTAGTGATCCAATTAGATCCAAGGGCAACTTTTTATCAGAATAATCAAAGTTAAAAAAATCATTTTCTATTATTATTAATATTAAAACAAAAATAGCATAAATTTCCTCTTATGCAATCATCACAAGCAAATGTAGAACATTCTGTACAAATATAATTTATTTTTAAAACAACATGTTGAAAGCATGTGCTCATTGAACTAAATGTTGTATGAAAAAATCTTATATTATATTATATAATTATAAAAAAAAGAAATGAAAAATAACTCTCTTCTTTTTTCATTCAATGCTTTCTCCTTTCTCTTCCCCAATCTTTTCTCTTTTCTATAAACCCACCTACTCTCCACTCATG